CCATCAGTGAAATTTCCTTGCTACTAAAAATTTCCACGATCAACTGTTAGTGGTATTATAGCAAAGTGGAAGCAACTGGGAACAACAGCAACTCAGCCACGAAGTGGAAGGCCATGTAAAATGACAGAGTGAGGTCAGGGAATGCTGAAAGGCACAGTGTGCTGAAGTCACCAACTGTCTGCAGAGTCAATAGCTAAAGACCTCCAAATTTGGTGTGGCCTTCAGATTAGCACAACAGTGCATAGAGAGCTTCATGGAATGGGTTTCCATGGCCGAGCAGCTGCATCCAAGCCTTACATCACCAAGTGCAATGCAAAGCGTTGGATGCAGTGATGTAAAGCATGCCACCACTGGACCCCAGAGCAGTGGAAACATGTTTTTTGGAGTGACGAATCACGCTTCTCTGTCTGGCAATCTGATGGATGTGTCTGGGTTTGGCGGTTGCCAGGAGAACGGCACTTGCCTGACTGCATTGTGCCCAGTGTAAAGTTTGGTGGAGGGAGGATTATGGTGTGGGGTTGTTTTTCAGGGATTGGGCTTGACCCCTTAGTTCCAGTGAAGGGGACTCTTAAGGCATCAGCATACCAAGACATTTCAGAAAATTTCATGCTCCTAACTTTGTGGGAACAGTTTGGGGATGGCCCATTTCTGTTCCAACATGACTGCACACCAGTGCAAAGACATGGATGAGCGAGTTTGGGGTGGAGGAACTTGACTGGCCTGCACAGTCCTGACCTCAACCTGATAGAACACCTTTGGGATGAATTAGTCCAGACTGCGAGCCAGGCCTTCTTGTCTGACACACAGTCAGGTCCATAAATATTGGGACATCGACACAATTCTAACATTTTTGGCTCTTTACACCACCACAATGGATTTGAAATGAAACAAACAAGATGTGCTTTAACTGCAGACTGTCAGCTTTAATTTGAGGGTATTTACATCCAAATCAGGTGAACGGTGTAGGAATTACAACAGTTTGCATATGTGCCTCCCACTTGTTAAGGGACCAAAAGTAATGGGACAGAATAATCATAAATCAAACTTTCACTTTTTAATACTTGGTTGCAAATCCTTTGCAGTCAATTGCAGCCTGAAGTCTGGAATGCATAGACATCACCAAACGCTGGGTTTCATCCCTGGTGATGCTCTGCCAGGCCTCTACTGCAACTGTCTTCAGTTCCTGCTTGTTCTTGGGGCATTTTCCCTTCAGTTTTGTCTTCAGCAACTGAAATGCATGCTCAATCGGATTCAGGTCAGGTGATTGACTTGGCCATTGCATAACATTCCACTTCTTTCCCTTAAAAAACTCTTTGGTTGCTTTTGCAGTATGCTTTGGGTCATTGTCCATCTGCACTGTGAAGTGGCGTCCAATGAGTTCTGAAGCATTTGGCTGAATATGAGCAGATAATATTGCCCGAAACACTTCAGAATTCATCCTGCTGCTTTTGTCAGCAGTCACATCAGTAAATACAAGAGAACCAGTTCCATTGGCAGCCATACATGCCCATGCCATGACACTACCACCACCATGCTTCACTGATGAGGTGGTATGCTTAGGATCATGAGCGGTTCCTTTCCTTCTCCATACTCTTCTATTCCCATCACTCTGGTACAAGTTGATCTTGGTCTCATCTGTCCATAGGATGTTGTTCCAGAACTGTGAAGGCTTTTTTAGATGTTGTTTGGCAAACTCTAATCTGGCCTTCCTGTTTTTGAGGCTCACCAATGGTTTACATCTTGTGGTAAACCCTCTGTATTCACTCTGGTGAAGTCTTCTCTTGATTGTTGACTTTGACACACATACACCTACATCCTGGAGAGTGTTCTTGATCTGGCCAACTGTTGTGAAGGGTGTTTTCTTCACCAGGGAAAGAATTCTTCGGTCATCCACCACAGTTGTTTTCCGTGGTGTTCCGGGTCTTTTGGTGTTGCTGAGCTCACGGATGCGTTCCTTCTTTTTAGGAATGTTCCAAACAGTTGTTTTGGCCACGCCTAATGTTTTTGCTATCTCTCTGATGGGTTTGTTTTGTTTTTTCAGCCTAATGATGGCTTGCTTCACTGATAGTGACAGCTCTTTGGATCTCATCTTGAGAGTTGACAGCAACAGATTCCAAATGCAATGCAATAGCACACTTGAAATGAACTCTGGGCCTTTTATCTGCTCATTGTAATTGGGAAAATGAGGGAATAACACACACCTAGTCATGGAAAAGCTGAGAAGCCAATTGTCCCATTACTTTTGGTCCCTTAACAAGTGGGAGGCACATATACAAACTGTTGTAATTCCTACACCGTTCACCTGATTTGGATGTAAATACCCTCAAATTAAAGCTGACAGTCTGCAGTTAAAATACATCTTGTTTGTTTCATTTCAAATCCATTGTGGTTGTGTATAGAGCCAAAAATGTTAGAATTGTGTCGATGTCCCAATATTTATGGAGGCCCTAGCTTAATGACTTCTCCCAGAGCTAATTGGAGCCAGGAGTGAGCCAACCTTGACTCCAATCAGTGTGATGATATTGGATGTGTTGCTGACAGCTGTCCTGCCCTTAAAAAACACACACCTGTTTTGGGTTTACTGGTTTCAAGAAGCACTGTCTGATGTGAACCATGCCTTGCAGAAAAGAGCTCTCAGAAGACCTACGATCAAGAATTGTTGACTTGCATGAAGCTGGAAAGGGTTACAAAAGTATGTCCAAGAGCCTTGATGTTCATGTGTCCACGGTAAGACAGACTGTCTACAAATGGAGAAAGTTTAGCACTGTTGCTACTCTCCCTAAGTGTGGTCGTCCTGTAAAAATGACTGCAAGAGCACAGCGCAGAATGCTGCATGAGGTAAAGAAGAATCCCAGAGTGTCAGCTAAAGACCTTCAGAAATCTCTGGCACATGCTAACATTTTTGTTGACACATCTACAATAAGGAAAACAATAAACAAGAATGGAGTTCATGGGGGGACACCATGGAAGGAAGCCATTGCTGTCCAAAAAGAATATTGCAGCACGTTTGAAGTTTGCAAAAGAGCACCCGGATGTTCCACAGCACTACTGGCAAAATATACTGTGGACAGATGAAACCAAGATTGAGTTGTTTGGGTAGAACACACAACACTATGTGTGGAGAAAAAAAGGCACAGCACATTGTGGCAAACTTGCTCATCCTTGTTGGAGCGGAGTCCCCCTTTACACTCTCTTTTTCGTGTTCTGTCTGTGTATTTGAGGTCTTCCTGGAATCATTCCTCACATCCCCCCTGCATTCCTGTGAGGCAGACTTTATCTCCTGGCAGATGATGTGGAACAAGGAGGCTAAGACATTAGAAGTGGAGACACGCTGTCTACGAACGTGTCACTTTGGTCACCCAAAGCTATGTAAGCCCACACCTTATCAAAGGGACCCAAGAACTGAACATTCCTCAGGTCAACTGTATGGTTCATATCACAGGATATGAAGCTGGTAATTTAGAGTTTCCCAATGACCACTCCCAAGTCAGAGTCCCCCCCCTCCCCTTTGTGAGGGACTTTTAAAAAAGACAGGCTGACAAGCCTAGAGAGAGAGTAAAAAGTTTTTGTCACACACAGAGATCTCCGAGGTAACATCGTAACAGAGGAGATCAAAGAACCTTTCTGCTCTACATCTTGAATTTGCTAAAACCAGGCAAGGCAAGTAACTTACCCTGTAATTTCCTTGCTATTCTATGTTTGCTGTGTCTTTATATACATATATATATATTTTTGTGACATCTGTGTAACTATTTATTTGCATCTGTTTGACCCTGTTAGAAATAAATCTTTCTTTCTGAAAGTGTTAAACTGTTTCTAAGCGCTTACTTGCAATTCACGAATCCCTGCCTTTGAAGAGACGCTACGGGTTGTCATATCTCTGTATAGCAGGTCCGCGGGCCGTGCTATATAGATCAATATTTCAATCATTATAGTGTATATTTGGTAACGGAGTTTCCCAGTCTCCGACAAAAGTGGTGGTGGCAGTAGAGGGTTAGTTGCGTAACTAACCCAACCCAGTAACAAGCGCATTCAGGCTGCAGGCACCGATTGTAGTCCATTAGCTGGGCAATCGCTGTGTAGGGTGCAGCTGGGTGGGGCCTTGTTACGCGCGTCACACCGCGGTTTTGGATCGGCCGGCCCTTCGGTCACGAGTTTGGTGAGAAGGTCTGGGGTCTGACGCCGTGGGCGTGACGTATTACTGTTAGTCGCGGCTGTGCGATTGTCGCCTGTTGGTGGCGGCGGCCGCGGGTCGTGACATACATCAACATCAAAACCTCTACCCCACTGTAAAACATGGCGGAGGGAGCATCATGGTTTGGGGCTGCTTTGTTGCCTCAGGGCCTGGAGGGATTGTTGTCATTGATGGGAAAATTAATTCCAGAGTTTATCAAGACATTTTGCAGGAAAACGTATGACCATCTGTCTGCCAACTGAAGCTCCGCAGAGGATGGGTGATGCAACAGGACAATGACCCAAAGCATACAAGTAATTCAACAAAACAATGGCTGCAACAGCACAGAATACGCTTTCTGGAGTGGCCCAGTCAGAGTCCTGACCTCAACCCAATTGAAATGCTGTAGCATGACCTTAAGAGAGCGATTCACACCACACATCCCAAGAATATTGCTACACTGAAACAGTTTTGTGAAGAGGAGTGGTCCAAAATTACTCCAGATCGTTGTGCAGGTCTGATCTGCAACTACAGGAAACGTTTGGTTGAGGTTATTGCTGCCAAAGGAGGGTCAACCAGTTATTAAATCAAAAGGTTCACATACTTTTTCCTCCCTGCACTGTGAATGTTTACATGTTATGTGCAATTAAACCATGGCAACATCTAATGTTTGTGTAGTATTATGTTCAGCAGACTGTGTTCTTCTATTGTTGTGACTTAGATGACTTTCAGAGCACATTTTATGCCCAATTCATGCAAAACTCCATGTAATCCCAAGGGGTTCACATACTTTTTCTTGCAACTGTATATATATATGTGATTTTGCATTTCCAGGTAGGAGGGCCCAGTGATTACCAACCGGCGCCCGGTGATTACCAAGCATCTCCAACGGTGATTACCCGCCAGTGCCCAGTGATTACCGAGCATCTCCGACGGGGAGGAGGACTGTTTTGTTTACGAACAGTTAACCTTCCTGTCAGCTCAGGCACACTGCTTTGGAGGGCTGTGCACAGCACAGCCCTCCAAAGCAGTGTGCTTACAGTGAAGCATACTGACATGGCCCCCACGTAAAACACTCCTGCACACAGTTAACCCTTTGATTGCCCCTTAGGTTAACCCCTTCTTGCCCAGTAGCATTAGTACAGTGTCTGCTTTTTTTTTTAGCACCGATCACTGTATTGGTGTCACTGGGGATGTCAGTGACACCAAGTCAGTTCTCCCCCATGTCAGAATGTCCACCGCAGCCCCACTATACATCGCTGATCACCCACACTACTAGTAAAAATAAATAGATAAAAAATTCCAGTATCTATACCGCCATTTGTAAATGCTATAACTTTCACATAAACCAATTAATTTACACGTATTGGGATTTTTTTTTTTTTGCAAAGACATGTAGCAGAATACATTTTGGTCTAAAATTATGATGAAATTTGATTTTTTTTTCTTTTTTTACTGGACATGTTTAACAGCAAAAAGTAAAAAATATTGTTTTTTGCTCAAAATTGTAGGTCTTTTTTTTTCATAGTGCAAAAAATAAAAAATGCCCAAGCAATCAAATACCACCAAAAGAAAGCTTAATTAGTGGAAAAAAAGGCTGTAAATGTCATTTGGGTGCAGTGTTGAATGACCGCGCAATCGTCAGTTAAAGTAACACAGCACCGTAATGCAAAAAATGGCCTGATCAGGAAGGGGGGTAAATCCTCAGGAGGGCAAGTGGTTAACTGCTTCTCGACCGCCCTATAGCAGATATACTGCTACAGCGTGGAACAGGTGTGCAAAATCACGTATATATACGTAATTTTGCATTTCCGGATAGGGGGCGCATGTGCACCCAACCCACGCCGCCATTCATGGCTGTCAATCACCGGGTCCCAGCCGGTGATTACTCGCTGGCGCCCGGTGATTGCCGAGCATCTTTGACAGGGAGGAGAACTGTTTGTAAACAAAACAGCTCTTCTCCATCAGCTCGTGCACACTGCTTTGGATGGTTGTGCATAGCACAGCCATGCAAAGCAGTGTGATTACAGTGAAGCACAAACACACAGCCCCATAGTAAAACACACCCAGCACACAGTTAACCCTTTGATTGTCCCTCATGTTAACCCCTTCCTGTCCAGTGCCATTAGTATAGTGTCAGTGCTTTTTTTTTTAGCACTGATCACTGTTTTTGGTGTTACTGGGGATGTCAGTGACACCAAGTCAGTTCCCCCCAGTGTCAGAATGCCCCCTGCAGTCCCACTATAATTCGCTGATCGCTGTTATTACTAGTGAAAATTAAGAAAAAAATTTCAGTAAATGCTATAACTTTTACGTAAATCAATCAATTTACACATATTGGGTTTTTTGTTTTGCAAAGACATGTCACAGAATACATTTTGGCCTAAATTTATGACGAAATTTGATTCATTTTTTTAATGGACATGTTTAAACAGCAAAAAGTAAAAAATATTGTTTTTGTCTCAACAATTTTCAGACTTTTTTTTTATAGCGCAAAAATAAAAAAGCTCACAGGCGTTCAAATACCACCAAAAGAAAGCTCAATTCATGGGAAAAAAAAGACGTACATTTCATTTGGGTGCAGCGTTGCATGACCGCGCAATTGTCAGTTAAACTAACGCAAAAAATGGCCCAATCAGGAGGGGGGGATAAATCCTCTGGAGGGCGAGTGGTTAAATAACACCAAAAGAAAGCTCTATTTGTGTGAGAAAAAAAAATAATATACACTTTAAGGGCATAGTGTCGCATGACCGCGCAATTTCCAGGTAAACCATAAAATGCCTTGGTAATGAGGAAGGTAACACTTTCAGGAGGTCAAGCAGTTAATCAATGTGGAATGATCTCCGTTTCTCCGTCGAGTTCACACTGACAGCTTTGCAATGTCTCCGCGGCCACCTATATATCCAGGCCGGAGGATCTGGAGCGCTCAGCCTTAGACACGATCCCCAATGACATGTAAACATTCCCGGGTAATGGAAAGGCCGCTCGTCATCTGACAAGGATCGCCCCTTTAAAAGCAGGCAGGCCATAGAATGACATCACTGTTCCCATCATGTGACAGGCCGGCCCGCCTCCAGAATGACGTCAGTGCATGACTGTGTTTTTATGAATGAAAGGAATCCGTGAGTGAGTAATTCCAGGAAACTGTAACATTACAACTCAGCAGATCTCAGCGCTCCTTGCTGCCAGCGGCACCCGCCATCCCCCCGGGCCCAGCTACAGCCAGCTCCGCAGGTAAGAGGCCCCTCGGTGCCCATGTGCGTGCCCTTCCTCACCCTGGGTGGGACCGCGATCACTCTCACAACAAGGAAATCGTGCTCAGAGCGCCGATCGCCCGACTGGAGGGAGGAAACAAGGAAGCTGGTTCGGCGGGTGACCCCGGTGGACGATCGGGACTGTGATCACAGCCGGAGCCATCGCTGCCACCTGCCCGGGGACGGTGCGGGGCTGTGTGTGGTCTGGGGGTAGAGTGACGATCAGAGGGCCCTCCGGGTGGAACTTCCTCCTCCGGACTGTGCGATCAGTGTGTGTGTGTGTGTGTGTGTGTACACAGTAGCCGGAGATCGGACTGTCTGATCGGTGTGTACAGAGATCGGAGAAGGGGGGGGGGGGGGGGGGGGGGTCCATACACGGGGCTGATTGCTCCCAGATGAAGTCATGTTGTTGGTTTCCTCCCGGAGCGGAGAGTGTGTAACATTCCTTACGTAACATCGCGCTGTGCCCTGGGTGTTGTCTGCATACAATTGGAAGTGACAGGAGGGGAGGAGGCCGCTACAGAGGAGAGCAGGAGGAGGAGAGGATCTCCGGGACCAGCAGTGTTTACTCAGCCGGGAGAGTCCTATGTACAGAGCACATGGTGAGCCCCAGACAGGGCTTGTGGAAGGTTGGAGCTCTGTCAGGTGTTTATTGCTGGGAGGAGAACACATGTCTGCCCCCCATTATTGAACCATGTGGAAAAAGGTGGGGTATAAGTCCTGGCCATGAATGAGGCCCACATACCACCCCATGAAGTGATAATTGGCTGATCAATAAAGACCAACTTCACTCACCACCCACAATAAGTAAAAGTAGCTGCTGATCTTTAATATAAAGACACTTACCTGTCCAGGGATCCAGAGCCGTCCTCACCTGAGCCGATTCTTCAGTGGGCATCGGGTCCAGGCACCAGCATCTTAACCACTTGCCCTCCAGAGGATTTACCTGACCAGGCCATTTTATGCGATACGACACTGCATTACTTTACCCACTTGCCAACCAGGCACTTTTACCCCCTTCCTGCCCAGGCCAATTGTCAGCTTTCAGCATTGTTGCACTTTAAATGACAATTGTGCAGTAATGCAACAATGTACACATGACCTTTTTTATCTTTTTTTTTTTTCACACAAATAGAGCTTTCTTTTGGTGGTATTTACTCACCGCTGGGTGTTTTATGCGCTATAAACAAAAAATGTTTTTATTATAACATTTTGCAAACACGTAATTTTTCTTCTTCACTGATGTGTGTTGATGAGGCTACACTGCAGGGCACTGATCAGTGCCAATCACTTCTCTGACAATTGCCAGTTATCGGCAGTACTTTCCTCACGCAGTGACAGTGTGAGGAAAGTGCAGCCGATAACCGGCAACTGCATTTACCAGGGATCTGCTGTGTCATTGGACACAACTGATCATGTAGTAAAAAGCCACCGTGATTGGCTGTTTTCTGTATCCTGTGATCAGCTGTGTCTGTAGGACACAGCAAGCACTGGGGGCGCATTCTAGAATGACGTCCATGGACGTCGTCCCAGAACCAGGCAGCTGCACTGTAGCTGTCCGACTATAGCACAGTAGGGAACTGGTTAACTGACAATTGCACGGTCATGCAATGCTGCACCCAAATAAAATTTATGTCCTTTTTTCCCACAAATAGAGCTTTCTTTCAGTAATATTTGATCGCCTGTTCGCTTCTTATTTTTTGCGCTATAAACAAAAAAAAGACAGACTATTGTGGGAAAAAACAAAACAATATTTTTGACTTTTTTGCATTAAAACATATCCAGAAAAAAAAAAAAAATCAAATTTCTTCATACATTTACATACATGTCTTTACTAAAAAAAAAAAAAAAATCACAATACGTGTAAATTTAATTGGGTTACATGAAAGTTATAACTTTTACAAATGACAGTATAGATACTGGATTTTTTTTTTTTTTTTTCTACTAGTAATGGAGATCAGCGACTTATTGCGGGACTGCAACAGGCATTCTGACACTGGAGAGGGAGCTGACTGCCAATGATATCCCAGTGACCCTAATGCAGTGATCAGTGGCTAATAAAAGCACTGACACACTACTGACACTGGGCAGGAAGGTGTTAACATCTGGGGTGATCAAAGGGTTAACAGTGTGCTGCGTGATTTACTTGGGAGACCAGCTGCTTTGTATTGCTCTGCTATGCAGAGCAAAACAAAGCAGCCTGTACGTGCTGACAGGGGGAGAGATCTGTGTTGTTTACATAAAAGACTTCTCCCTTTTCAGCTCCGCCAGCGATCACTGAGTCCCGGCCGAGAATCGGCGGCCAGGACCCGGTAATTCATATGTCGAGGAGCCAATAGCGGCGCGAGTAGGGAGTGCATGTCCCCTACCCCTGAAAACAAAATCACGTATGTATACGTGATTTTGCGCATCCCTGCCACCCTGTAGCAGTACTTCTACTATAGGGCGGTCAGGAAGTGGTTAAACTGGAACTTTATTCAGAAAATTAAGTCCCACTAGATGACTTCCTCCTGAAGGTATAGCTGTGTAAAACTTTAAAAAGTGTCTATGCCAGAGTTCCATGGAAGCCTAGAGTTCTTCCAGAAGTTGCTGGGGATTCCTTGAGCAATTTCTACCTCTCAGATAAGTTCCCACTGACACCATTGGTCTTTATAGTAATCTATAAGGGGGTCATTCTTCCCAATAACCACAAGTGTAAGGAGCATTCGTCCCACTGACCATCTCACTAATGTATCATGAGTTGTAGATAGTCATTGTTAGCAGGGGTTGCCTGATATCAGAAATAATTTCAAGGGTTCCTCTGTGAAAAGATTGAGAGGCTGGTCTATACTGTTTAAAATCCAGTGCTATACTGTCTCCCCACTGCACATGCTCACTTGCTTTTTATTTTTAGGCACTGTACCGAAAATGTAGAGACCGGTCTGTTGACCGCCTAAAGCAGGGTTTCTCAATCGGGGTTCCATGGAATCCTAGGGTTCCTAGAGCAATGAGCAATTTCTGTCTCTCAGATAAGTTCCCACCGGCACCATTGATATTTTTAGCTATCTGCTAGGGGTAATTCCTCCAGATGACCACAAATATGAGGAGCATTCTTCCCACTGACCATCTCGCTAATGTGTCACGAGTTGTAGATCTAGTAATTGTTAGTAGGGGTTTCCGGAGATCAGCAACTTATTGCAAGGGTTCCTCTGTTTGAAAAGGTTAAGAAAGGCTGGCCTAAAGATTTACTGCTGTTCAGGGGCTCTGGGCTTCAGCAAAATGGCAGCCTCCAGCAAGAAGCCCACACTCATTTTGGTAGCATAGTTGTTAATGTGGAATGTATGTTCCTTGCTAAAGAAAATCCACATTAACTAAGGGAAACGGATGTGCAAGCTGTAGTGCGCTTTGTGAATGGTGCCACAGTCTTCTAGGACCTGTAATGTGCCCCAGAAGACTGTGGGTGAAGGGAGGCATGAACTTCTGTTCAGATTGCCCTAGGCAATTCAGTTCTGCTAAAGGACACCTTCACGCTGTTGCCTTGTAAAATACAATATGTGTTTTAGCACTTGTTTAATGCATTGCTTTAAAAGGCATTATGTTTGCAGTAAATTTTAAATGCCTTGTCATCCCTGGTCACCCGGGGGAAAAAAAACTGTCATTTGATTCAAAATGCACTTAAAAAAAAGCATGCTGTTTTTGGTGCGTTTCCCTTGACTATAATAGATGACGCATTTTTGGTACGTTTCTCAAACAGGGCTCTAAAGATGCAGCAAGACATCAAAAAAATGTAGCACACTATATAAAAACGCAGCATACAGGTGTGAACAGTTAGGATTTAGGTCCATTTCACACGAGGGGTCCAATCAGGTCTACCTGTCAGTTTATCAGGTGGATCTACTCAGACCCCCTCCATTCACCACTACAGAACAGCAGGTGTGA